AAGAGAGCTCTCCCCGCACATAGTGGGAGGTTGTGGAACTAGTCCTATATGATATTAAATATACTTTGCCGAATTAATAATGATGCGATTCATGAAGTTAAGGGACTATTATTGAATTTGGAATTATTATAGATCGTTTATCAGTCTGAATAATGTTACGGGTGTCCCAAGGAGTTATTAGTTAGGCAGAAAATATGTCACGTAGGCCTAAGCTAGCGCCTTGGAGAGACGCGACGCTGGCTGGTCCTCAGTCACGTGAAAGCGATTGGACCTACAGGACATCCCTGCGCGTCCGTCCACAGAAATAGTCACGTGGTCTAGTCACCTGTGTTGCACTATTGCAGTATAACAAGTAAGTCTCATTCGATCTCAGACAGGGTTTAGATAGGGCAGTGATAAAGTTAACTAGAGCTAACAGTGAGTTCATTTCAGGGTTTCCGCCAGAACCCACTTGACTGCGAGAGATTGACTGCCGTTTGAGACTGCCGTTGATGATTGAGGGTGGCGATTGTCGCCATTGGACCGATCAGTGTAGGCCTGTCACCGTTTAACGGGGTATCAAAGGATCTCTTGAGGGAATCTAGCCGTCTGGGTGCCCAGCTGACGACGGGACGATCGTTGGGGTCATCAGCTCTCCTCTACCTCGACTCACAATACCACATGTCTCAAGCAGCTTAGTGAAACCCTCTTGCTAACGGGAAGCTAAAGCTTCTCTCAACTGTACAAGGTCTGATTGGCTCACTCCGTTCCGCTCTATGGATGTACCTGGGGGTAAAGTGAAGCTAGCTGAGTGATATAGGGTCGCACACTGGGGCCAAGGGTCAGTGGAGTTTAGAGGTACACTTTCCAAGGTGGAGAAAGGCTGATTTGGGCCTTCAACTAGGGGTGCCTGTTGATTGTGCCTTAAACGACTACGGAGTGCAGGTGGAATCTGTGTGTGTGTTAGGTTAGGGAGCATGGTTCACGGGTATTGGACTCAGTAACGTCTTTATAATAGTGACAATATTTTTGTGTGTAGTTAATACTATTTTTTCAGTTACTAATGTATGCTGTGTGCATTTAAAATTTCTTTATAGTTTCAATCTCAGATATAACCTTTGTTCCCCAGAGTAGTGTTTAAGTTAGGTTAGGAGGCCTGCATCTGTTGGTGTAACATAATTTTATTGAGCGCCCTTTAGGCCTATTCATGGTGGAATTAATAATTTCTTATTTTTATACCACTTCCGCAGTGGTGGATATTATTCTGTGAAAACCCTTAAGGCCTGTTTCATGTGTGCAAGCAACATTTCTTACTACTTTAAATTTATTGTTGCGTGAGTTTCTAATAATTTCAATATCATGTATAACTTTTATTCCCCAGAGTAGTGTTTCAAGTTCAAGTTAAGAGGTGCGCATATTGGTGCACCATTATTTGATTGTGTTTGTAGTTGGAGGGAATATAAGTGTCTAAAATTTACAGTGTGTCTCATTCATCCCAGTCACAGACGCTATCCTTCCACGGGTCACGGACAATTCATTTTGTTAGTAAATTTAAGTGCTCTTGTGCTGGTTCGGGATTTCTCACTAAGGGGCGCTTCCACTGCCATTACCATCTAATAATCTTTCATAAACCCCAAGTCAAGTGAGGAAATTAAAGTCCAGTAAATTCCGACCGGTTACATATATATATATATATATATATATATATATATATATATATATATATATATATATATATATATATATATATATATATATATATATATATATATATATATATATATATATATATATATATATATATATATATATATATATATATATATATATATATATATATATATATATATATATATATATATATATATATATATATATATATATATATATATATATATATATATATATATATATACACGTCAAGGGGACTTGCAAGACTGGATAGCGAGTGTTGGTGATGAATTGAGGGCGCCCGTGTGTGTATGTGTGTGGGTGTGTGAGGGAGGAGCTGGGGTGGTTGTTTTCTCACTGCCCTGCTCGGTACATTCCGAGAGCCACATTGTTTTTCCAGCGAGTCGTGTGGGTGAATTTCTGAAACGCTTCTCCTGCGTGTTTGTCCAGCATTATTCCTTCTGAATTTGAGCTTGAATCTCTCTCTCTCTCTCTCTCTTCTGTACATATAGTAATTTGCATGACGTCACAAGATGGATGCTGTCTTGAGAATATTTTCATGTATGACGTCACATGTAAACAACCCTCCTCCTCGTGCATTATGGGAAGGCCACAGCGGCGAGGATTTGTTTGTGTTTGTATTTCGTCCATAATGGAGTGCTCCCCCCCCCCCCCCCCACACCCCCATCCTCCCTCCCAGAGCAGGTGAACGTCGGGTCTTGGAGAACAGGAGTGTATAGGATATTGATCTAAGGAACGAGAAGGTCTGGGTGAATAAGTGTATTGTTGATCTGGTCGTTGTTGTGGTTGCTGTCTGGGTCGTACTTTAAGTCCATGTTGTGTTCGTTGTTTAAAAGTCCATGTTGTGGTCGTTGTTAAGGTCGAAGTTGTGTTTGTTATTTAGGTCGAAGTTATGGTCGTTCTTTAGGTCGAAGTTGTAGTTGTTATTTAGGTCGATGTTGTGTTCGTTATTTAGGTCGATGTTGTAGTCGTTGTTTTGGTCGATGTTGTGGTCGTGGTTTTGGTCGATGTTGTGGTCGTTACTAAGGTCGATGTTGTGGTCATTGTTTAGGTCGATGTTGTGATCGTTGCTTAGATCGAAGTTGTGGTCGATATTTAGGTCAATGTTGTGATCATTATTTAGGTCGATGTTGTGGTCGTTGTTTTGGTCGATGTTGTGGTCGTTGCTAAGGTCGATGTTGTGGTCATTGCTTAGATCGATGTTGAGATAGTTGCTTAGGTCGATGTTGTGGTCGTTGCTTAGGTCGATGTTGTGGTCGTTGTATAAATCATACAGGTCGTGACTGCCTATGATGGTCAGTGTCAGGTGTTGGATATATAAGCACATACCTGTGTGTTGTACCCTCTTCAACTAATGTCACATGATGTATACTCTTCACTAGTACTGGTGGTCTGGGTCATGATGTACCCACCTTCACTAGTACTGGCGGTCTGGGTCATGATGTACCCACCTTCACTAGTACTGGTGGTCTGGGTCATGATGTACCCACCTTCACTAGTACTGGTGGTCTGGGTCATGATGTACCCACCTTCACTAGTACTGGTGGTCTGGGTCATGATGTACCCACCTTCACTAGTACTGGTGGTCTGGGTCATGATGTACCCAAATTCACTCGTACTGGTGGTTTGGGTCATGATATACCCACCTTCACTAGTACTGGTGGTCTGAACAGGTACCTTGGACAGTTATGGTGAGATTGTCTCTGTGTAAATATCTAGTTGTCTCAAGAAAGGCCAAACTTCATAATCATAATTCCTTCACTGGTCAAGTTGAAGTTTCAAACAACAGGTTGAGAGCAGCTTCAACCTCCCACGACTGTAAATGGAATATCACATCATCGTGTTACTTAACTAGTATGAAGTTAGTAAGATTTCTTTCTCCACATAATTTATGTGAAAAGTCTCTCGAGGGTCAGGTGGTAACATGTTGTAACTAGAGATGTGAGTTCACAGTTTTATCTATTCGTTTTATTTTTACAGCTAACCTAACCTAACCAATGTCTTAATGCCTCTCTAGACTTTGCACAATATGAAGTGTTGATTGAAATTATTTACCAACGTTCTCAAACATTTTGTAGAACTTTATACACAAGAAACTTTTAAAAGAGTATTGATATGGGACCCTCTTTCACTTTTTTTCGAGTAGTTTGTTCCCATTTACCTGTTGCATAAATTTATTCAGTTTTGGGTTCTCTCTCTGGTTAATTAATTACTTCTGGAAAATGTTGACAAAGAGATCAACATTAAAGCTTTGTAAACTATCACGCTTAAGCTCTTTGTACCAGTCCAAAGTAAATCTGTTAACCTGTTCTGTTAAGTTTAGTACCAGGTGGGGTGAAGTTAGTTGCATGTAGCGGTTCTAACTGGTTTATGATCAGGCATAAGATGAGGGACGCCGTCAACACACCGGTCAATGTTGCTCCATAAACATAATTATGGTAATGATTTCTTAACATACATTAGACATATAGTAACAGTCCCTAAATTATAACATTTATGATTAGGTACATTAGGTGTGAATTTAACAATAAGTGTTCAAATTTCTAGTAAGCACAGTGTCATGGCCTTGGTCAGAATCACGTAATGGAGTTCACAGTAGTTTAGTCTTTGGGATAAAATATTTCAGCTCAATATTGTTCACCTCACTGTTGACACTGGCCGTCGTCCTCTGTATCATGACTCTTTAATGTACTGTTTTCTCTCTTTGGGATTATCAGAATTATTCAACGGAGGCTCTAATTTAATGCACTGTCTGGGTGACTGGTAGTTCTGTATATGGCCCCTTCTAGAACTCCATTTACAGATATTTTATTTTGTTGTACAGTTTCCTGTCGTTCTTTGTTTCTTGCCCTACTTGGCTCTTTTATCGCCTCACTAAGTTATTCTATGATGTCAGTTTTATACATATGTAATGATTGATTGTCAGACCAAAGCTTACAGCAAAGAATTATATCACATATAACAGCAAGTACACTACAGACCTTGTGGTACCACCACATTCCGGGTTGACACACCTCAGGTCGACCCTAGGGACTTGACCTCGCCCGCTAATGACGTGAGTTAGCCGGGTGACCTACAACCTCACCTAACCAAGACACCTGGGCAGGACCACACCTGCACACAGTTATCCAGATCTAACCAGTTTAGTGATAATTGGTGTTACGAACCGCGCCACCAATTGTCATGATCTACCTACCCAGCATTACGAACCACGCCATCTATTGTCCTGATCTACCTACCCAGCACCACGAGCAACGCCATCTAGGGACGAAACCCGAGTATGACTACTCTTAGTTACCACTCCGGGGTTTCCCTTCTCCATATCCTGGTTGTTGCGTCACCTCCTCAAAGTCTTCTTCGTCAGCTCCAGTTCGATGAGAGTTCAGTTCACTCTGGGAAGTGACCACAGGATCACCTATCCTGGAAACCTACAGCACAGTGACTACCTACCGTCTTCTACCATACTCAGCCTTACTCGTCAGCCAATCCAGCTCCGCACTTAAGTATTTGTAATCTTGTATTGCCTCCCCCACCTCCACCTTACTTCAAATTATTGTATGTTCTATAAATATGTATATACTGTTAATGTTTAGGTTAAGTATGGTTAAGGGTAAATTATAGAAAGCTGAATATTTTGTTAAGGAATTTATGGTACTTTATTATACACAACAAAAAGTCGCATCCTTTGTCTACCCTTTTATACTCCGATTGTCTTTGTTTTTTTTTTGTTACCTGTTGGGATCTGGGTAGACTTTTAACTATATTCTAAATCCCCAACTCGTAACAAATGGCGACCGTGACAGGACCCTTAGATACTTGAAAGAGGAAGGGCGTATTACGGCATTTATATAAAGATCCGGATTAACAACCCTGAGATACTTGAAACAGGAAGGGGATAATCGGGATCTTTATATAAATGCCGTAATACGCCCTTCCTGTTTCAAGTATCTCAGGGTTGTTAATCCGGATCTTTATATAAATGCCGTAATACGCCCTTCCTCTTTCAAGTATCTAAGGGTTGTTAATCCGGATCTTTATATTAATGCCGTAATACGCCCATACTGTTTCAAGTATCCAAGGGTTGTTAATCCGGATCTTTATATTAATGCCGTAATACGCCCTTCCTGTTTCAGGTATCTCAGGGTTGTTAATCCGGATCTTTATATAAATGCCGTAATACGCCCTTCCTGTTTCAAGTGTCTCAGGGTTGTTAATCCGGATCTTTATATTAATGCCGTAATACGCCCTTCCTCTTTCAAGTATCTAAGGGTTGTTAGTCCGGATCTTTATATAAATGCCGTAATACGCCCTTCCTGTTTACTCACGGGTTGTTAATCCGGATCTTTATATAAATGCCGTAATACGCTCTTCCTGTTTCAAGTATCTCAGGGTTCTTAATCCAGATCTTTATATAAATGCCGTAATACGCCCTTCCTCTTTCAAGTATCTAAGGGTTGTTAATCCGGATTTTTATATAAATACCGTAATACGCCCTTCCTGTTTCAAGTATCTAAGGGTTGTTAATCCTGATCTTTATATTAATGCCGTAATACGCCCATCATGTTTCAAGTATCCAAGGGTTGTTAATCCAGATCTTTATATTAATGCCGTAATACGCCCTTCCTGTTTCAAGTATCTCAGGGTTGTTAATCCTGATCTTTATATTAATGCCGTAATACGCCCTTCCTCTTTCAAGTATCTAAGGGTTGTTAATCCGGATCTTTATATTAATGCCGTAATACGCCCTTCCTCTTTCAAGTCTCTTATCCATATCTATGGATCTTATCAGAAGAACAATATTCATGAGTGTAATTTCCCGAGGTATAACTTGGGTAGTTTCCGGGACTTTCTGGTTATCCACTGCCGTGATATTTTCTAGGGTAATCCACTTATCTTATCTTTTGACCATTAGTTAATTTATCTAGGTTTTCTTAATGGCCACCTCAGGATTTGTTAAACTTGGTAGTTCTGGAGGAGTGGAAGAGCAAGATACCATTTCACATCTTGAAAAATGTGGAGGAGCGTGGGGAAGTTAATTTAAGACGTGCGGCTGAGCTGGCTGATGCGTACGCCTTACTGGTGGAGTCACTGTGCCGTAGGGAACGTGGTACTTTCCGGCATGTTAGGTCCTCCTCTGATGATAACCTTGGGGACGTGAGTAGTAGGTCGAAGGGTCCCACAACCCACCTACCCCCGGTGATGCAACCAAGTTTTATTGTTCTTACTGTAAAAAACCAGGCCATACGATCCAGTCTTGTAAACACCCAAAGTGTCGGACTTCTAAAAGTAGTTCCCTGGATCCCAAATCCAAACCAAAAGCAACCACCAATGTGGAAAGGCCCCATCAGGATCTCTTCTCTTTATTCACCTATGAGGGAAAAATTTCAATCATAGAGGGGTCTCGTTCTTTCCCTATTCGTATACTACGTGATACGGGCGCAGCACAATCTATCCTCCTGTTTAACGTCATTCCTGATATATCTACCGCATTTACTAATGAGTGTTCTAATTTCAGATCTCTCGTCCCATTCTTCCTATCCCTTAGCTAAAGTGCACCTCCAATGTCCCTTGATTACTGGGGAAGTGCAAGTAGCCATTAGGAAAGATTCAATGCCTGTGAGCGGCATTCATTTATTATTGGGTAATGACTTGGTAGGAGATCTAGTGGTTCCCAACATAAAGACAGTCGACTCTCTCTTACCTGTCAACTCCACCACTGACCTTGAAGAAACTATTCCTCACCTTTTCCCATCTTGTGCTGTCACCCGGTCGCAGAATGTGTGTAATGGGCCCTCTTCATCTAAATCCACCTCCAATATCTTCCTACCCACAGAAGATCTGTACAATAAGACCATTAGTAAGGATGAGCTCATTAAAGCCCAACAATCTGATCCATCTGTGTTCAAACAGGTGATGAAAGACCTCAGTGTGGACCATTGTACATCTTCGGCTTACCACCCACAATCCCAAGGTTGCTTGGAACGGTTCCAGCAAAACTTTCAAATCAATGCTAATAAACTATCTTCCTTCAACTATATAGTCCATACTCCTGATCGCAGAAAAGATTCACAACTTGTTCACATTAATCTCATGAAACTTTACCATTCCAGGCAGTCAGAGGAAGACATCCCAGAGGCTATAAGCCTACCTGTATTACATACGGTTTTGTCAGGGCCGGAGCCGGAGACAGATGACATGGACCTATTGGAGAATTTAGACTTCCCTCTACCTAAAGAAAACCCTGCTAACAGTCACATACTCAACAACTTGGATGAGTATTTTTCTGTTCTGAATCCATCTCAAGCAAAAGATCTCACTAAGTTATTATCAACATTTCCTAAAGTCACTGTCTCAGTCTCCTACCCTTTACCTTTGATTGAAGATATAATGGACAGCATAGGCTGTGCCAAATTTATCAGTATGGTGGACTTATTGAAAGGATATTATCAAGTGGGACTCACGGATAGGGCAAAAATAATCTCAGCATTTATAACTCCATTTGGTCTTTTTCAATATTTGGTAATGGCGTTTGGCTTTTCTAATGCTCCGGCCACATTCCAGAGGGCCATCAATCACCTAATTCAGGACCTAGGTGGGACGTTCGCCTACCTGGATGACCTGGTGGTGGTATCGGA